CGAATGTAACTTAAGTTGTAACTTGTCGGTGTAAATAATTAAAGTAAACAGAAACATTTTTCTTTAAGTAAACATGAAGACCATGGAATTTACGTCCTTCAACTGTACTTGAATTGCATTGTATAGCCATGTATATATTTATGTATATATGTTTTATAATTATTGAACGACTTACCTTATGTACAGTGTATACAAATGAACAAAAACAAACCCAAACAAGTTTGCTTGACTGTTTAAGTTGGTATTATTTCATTTACATAGAAAGATAGTGTACACCTGACATGCATCACGTGTTCCAGGAAAGAGTGTTTTTAACTATAGTATATATACTGTTATATGTTTTCTTTTATGTGGTCAAAATATATTTGTTTAGCAATAATAAATAACTGTAGTTTAGAGGGTGTATTAAATTTATAAATCAAAAGCCACAAAACATATGAATAAACCAATAATTGTTATTTTATACGTATTATAAAAATTCGTTGTCATGACTTTATTAGAATTAGTATTTTGTATAAGTCTAAGTAAAAAATAATAATGTTCAGCATCTTGAGTTTTCGAAGAAAAGGAAAGAGGAGGTCCTTTGTTTTCTTTTTTTTTAATTACATCTTTTAAAGAAAGTTTGCACACTTTTTTATGGTTCTTGCTTGTCTTCAAAGGGTCTTCTTTTTCTATGTTTGCATCAAAATGATACATAATTTATGACAAATAAAGAAAAAAGGGCAAAATGAATCAACTCTATTCATCTAATTTTATATTCAGAAGTCTTCTTTGTATGATCGAAAAACGATAATTCCAAAATGGAAAAAAAAATCACAAAAAAAGTCGGGGGAGGCGGCTGCAAAAAAACAAAAAGGAAGCGGGGGCGGGGCCGCTAAAAGTTTTTCTTTTTTACTTGGCCTAATACCTTCCTATTGCCTGTGTTTGTGTATTGTTCAAGCTGTAGTTAATAATAGTATTGAACTCATATTTGACTAATTTATGAAGCTGAAATCTGATGGCCCTTCCACAAAGTTTACCCCAATGCCCCAAATCCTTATCCGACCCTGGCTTGGTGGCTGGCCTTACTCTTGCTTCTTCCAAACCGTTCAACCTAGTTGGAGTCAGGTTTAGCAATGATGTTTGAGTTCTTTTTTTTTTGATAATAAGTGTTTTATTACTCAAAACATTGGCATATATATGTACATATACTTTGTACCAGGCACGTATATTTTGGAACTTTGCATGCATATTTACTAGGTAAAACACAACCAAAATTTATCTACAAATTTGAAAAAGCATAATATTATCCTCTACGATTTTCTTTGTGTCATTACATAATAGTATTTTAAAATTCAGAAACGGTTTCTACTTCATACGTTAGTCAAAATAGTTAGTGTATTCGACTGTGTTAACATTCTCCTGTTGCAAAAAAAACAAATTGGAAACTATGCTTCTTGAGAATTAAACTGAGGAATCGACTTATCTCCCCTCTTTTTTTTTTCTTAAAAAGGTTTTGGTTTTTATTTCCGAAAAACACCGGATAAACTAGGAGTGACTTTCGTTTAACGTGTTGCTGTTATCATTGCATCTTGTTGTTGCTAATTAATCAAACATGAAACGTATAACTAAATTTAGCTTCTTGAGGCTAAATATATGGACATATTAGTTTACAAAATGTATTAGAAAAAAGTAGAAGATGTATTTTCGTTGAAATTTGTAGGTAAAACTTTCTTAACCTTGACAACTTTATCTGTACAAATTGCGAAATATGAATTGCCAATAACCATTAGGAAATTTTATAACTTCATACGAGATTATAAAATATTCCCACAGGGGCCAAAAGGATCTCGATAGTTTAGTTTGTTATCAGTTTCACGCAAAGCCGTCCTTAATCTACTAGTGAAAGACTAGAGGGAAGGCAGCTAGTCATCACCACCCACCGCCAACTCTTGGGCTACTCGTTTACCAACGAACAGTGGGATTGGCCGTCACATTATAACGCCCCAACGGCTGTAAAGGCGAACATGTTTGGTGGGACGGGAATTCGAACCCGTAGATTGCGAGTCGAACGCCATACCGATCTGACCATGCCAGGCCCAATCTCGATAGTTAAACGTTATAAATATTAATGAATTATATACAATCTATCAAACCTACTAGTTTTTACAGAATTCTAAACACCAATTAAATCAATTGTATCTATTTTGTAATTAGTTGTTTCTCTGATTTAAACTAAGGTTCTTTATCACCCACCCAATGATAAGAAATCGATATTCCTACACGCTCTTTAAACAACAACTTTTATTGGTTAAGCAGATACGAGATATGCAAATAAAAATACAACAACAACAACAAAAAACTTCAGATTTATTTGGTATAGTTAATGTCGATATAGTTGAATTTTAACACATTTAAAATACAAGTATAAAATATTTCATTCTACCTCATTCTTGATATTTAACCAACGTTCTGCATATATATATATTTAAATTGTATGATTATGGTGCAATTTATCAATAGATTGAATCTTGAATATATTTTTGTAAGCCTTATATTATCTTAATGTGCATTATAGATAAGGTATGCAAATAAACCAAAGTACTTAAAGACGTTACAATTCTTATCCTGACAGGACTTACTGCTGGAATGGAACATCTTCCATTTAGAAAGGTGAGCACCAATATAAGTACAGGTAGTTAAATATATCCTTCCAAAGGTTATTGTTTCTTAGAGAAATTCTTGAGATCAATCAATTTTGGGGTATACATAAGACATTTAAATCGACTTTACGTATAAAGAGGCCTTGAATTTCGTGACTTTATGAAGATCTAATTTATTGAAACGGCCTGTCATCCTACCGCATCAATAATTGATGTGAATATCTCCTGAAGAAGAATAGTCAACTATTCGAAAGCGCTCGAGTTTTAAGTCTATTACACTTTATATATGATCCTTTGTGCTAACTCTTTTATCAAAAACCGAATTTTTAAAGCACTCATGATTTGGAATACAATCATAAAACGATTTCTGTATGAATAAAATGATTTGTTCCGCAACTCTTTACGGAAGTTTCTGTCACGCAGCAGTTCAAATCACAGCCAGTATATACTTATGGTAAGGTTATGGCGATCAGATTTCAATCGTTGTCATGGTTAGCAGCCTTTACGAACACCTAATTCTAACTATTAATTAGTAACTGTTTTATTATATACAACTAGATATTAATTACTAATTAGATTTTATCTTACGCTCCAGCTGCTGTCTTCAGAGAAGTCATAAGAAGGACTATATTTGTTTTAGTAACTAGGTTTCGATGTCTTCCGTGCCAGGTTGCCTGAATGTGTTACTAGTTCGGTAGATGTAGAAGACTTCTTTTGTCATGATTTTCTTTTCGTGTGTTGTTAATATCCTATCAAATTTATTGTATGGTCTTCTACTCTGGCATGTTGGGCTATTGCAGATAGACCGGAATTAATTTGTCTTGATGTCTTTGTTTCTCAATGTATTGGAATACACGTTCATGGGTGATGCTGTAATAGTATGTTGTTGTTTTTTCTGTTAGACTTTTAAGTGCTATGGTGTGTGCTAACTTCGACCGTCTTGTGTTGTGTCTTTTGAATACTGTTCTGAATTTGTGTTGTTTACCTATCTTCTGTGTCTTCCAAGACCTTTGACATAGTGGAATATGACTGTATGTCTGTAATTTTTCTTCTGCTTATTCTTGGAGTTTATCTTCATTATTATCTTTTCTTTATCAATAGTTCCTGGTATCCATTGTTAAGGAGAACTGTAGTGATGTTTGTCTTCCTATTTATTGGCTTTTTCGGTATTACGAATCTCGTTCTTTCTTGAAACGAGATAGTATATGAAGCGCCCGTCTTTATGCTGTTCAAGTGGTTTGATTTGTAGTTGAGGTACTTATGAGTATTGTGGGTTTTTTGTAAACTCTTGTAGATATGAGTTAGGTTGGTAACGATCACGTCAAGGAATGACAGTTTTTCTATTGTGAATTGTATCGCGGGATGTTGTCGGTTCAGACGGTTCATGAATTCTTGAATTTTGTCTGTAGTGTGTGGTCATATTACAAATGTATCATCAACATATGTTAGCCAGGTCTCAAACCAGGTTCTGTTTTACTTATACAGCACATCATTGTAGTTGCCACTGTTCACTGTAAAATATTTTCCGAAAATAACCTTATTTTAGCTACACAATGGGAAGTCTGCGTTGTACCTACCACAGAGACTGAACCACGAAGGTTTACGTTATAAGTTCTCCAGCTTACCGTTAAGCCACCAGAGGACTTGCTGTGTACACCTTTTGTCCGCAAAAAAAATAAGCTGACGAACAGCATTGAGTTCATATAATCGAACAACAATAGATATGAAAATTTCTTGTGAAAATGCTTTATCATGACATACCTTTATTATATGCAGGAGTCTAAATCCTGCATATACGTGGCGGAATTCTCACATGGTAAGCTTAACTGTACCTGATTAATGTTTTTGTGTTTGACAAGTTCTATCCTTATCTTCATTTCCAACATAAAGGAAACAACGTCATATGAATAATAACTAGTCTCAGTTCTCTTGGCACGATAATCAATTGTGTTTCGTAATAAATATAAGAAAAATTTGAACTAGAACTTGTCTTAGTCATCTTGCCATGATACTAATCGTGTTCTGTAAATATACAACAAACTTACAAAATAACTAGTTTTAGTTTTACCGGTTTCATAATGAGTCATATGGGACATTAGAGAAAGTTTTAGTGAACAGTATTTAATGACTATAAATGTATTATTTAATATCTGTTGCCACTAATTTGACATGATGACTTTGCTTCTTTTTTTTTTTTGTTCAAGTTTCATATTCATGCTGGACAAAATAAAGTTTTACGAGATACCATCAACACCTTGTGTATTAGGCCTAGCAAGTGTCAAATACTATCAACATTGGCGGACACAGTTGCTTTAGTGCTTAATGCTTTCTCTCGGACTTTGTATATTTACGACAAAAATGCCCAGGTAAGTTTTCTTAGCTGTTCTAAACTCTTAGAAAAAACATTAAATGTTTAAATTTCTAACGTGTTTTGTTTTCTATACTTCCTGGTATTCCTATAATATATATAGTATATATATATTTAATTAAACCCAAACTTTAGTTCAATAATTCTATGTATGTATTGACGTTTCATGGTAGCTCACATGATGTATTGTGTGGGAGAAAATTCACATGCTTCAATATTCTGTATCAGCTAAATCACGAGACAAGGTTGACAGTGTCTTATTATCACAGAACAACTTTTTTCAGGTTTATATTTTAAACATATACGTTTCATACCTTCTGTTTCAAGGAAGAGTTAGATTTTTATATTAGTTCATAGAACATTTAAGAAAACAAGTATAAATCCGGGCGTTCCAACTAGATTTGATAACATCAAGAATTATCTCAAAATCTTGATATCCATAAATTTCTCTGTATGCCAGTTTTCTCTAATAAAGGATTGATTACGATGAAATTCGACAAATTAAACGAAGTCTAAAAATACAGTAACATCAACGTTTATAACAGAGAAATTCTGATTTAATGAGTTCAACGTTTCGACCCATAGTGTCGATCGGAAAATTGTCAGGTTACAGTTATCTGATGATGACCCGATCTATACATATAAGTCGAGATGTTGTAATCATTACAATCAGAATCTCCCTACTGTAGAATTTGTCGAGTTCCTCGTTTCGGACTGATACAGCCTTTCATCACAGGTTTGAAGGTGTGAAATAAAATAAAAATAAGTAAATTAAGTTTGAATTAGACCAAGCGGAATTAATGACATTGTACGAACGTGCTAGGAAATATTGTTAAGAAACCTAGGGTGTATTCTTTAAACGTTGTATATTGACAAAAAATTAAAGTATACGAAGAATTGACAAAGAAATAATCACACTTATATGTAACTTAGAATTATGTATGTATAAACACATACACATGGGGGCTGGTAAACCTACTTGAGAGGAAAGTTTTACCAAACACCACAGTGGTCCATTTTAAGAACTTGCTGGTTTCTTTTCTTTTTTCTATCTTATCTCTCTCTCTTTTAAGTAGCCATCTTCCCAAACCTGGGTTTAGATAATGAAAGGTGGCATAGATATGATATTTTGTAGGCTTAGAGCCCTCACGTATGCATCATTTTTTTTTATCAGAGAGGTGTATTCTTACCACTTTATGGGGCTTAATTCGATAAATACCTCTAATCCCAAGATAGATCTTATAATTTCTCAAAATATAATTTTTAACTTGTTCTTATTGGTTGCGTTGTCCTTCTGTTACGTCTTTCTTTTGTTTGCCTCATTTTCATAACACACACAAACACACATATATATGAGTACGTTGCATATGCATATTACAATCTATGTATACATACACGTACATATATACATATTCTGCCGCATAAAATTTAAGCCCGAGGAAACTTAAACAGAAAAGAGTGTACTGTATAAATAATTAGTACATATTTTCTGTTACTGTTTCTCGAATTTGGCTCGCCACAGTCATATGGGATACCCGTTTCGAGACTAAATCAGATGTTTGGACGTTGTTTTGTTGAAAAGGCAGTTAGAAAGAGGTACACTGCAAGTCTCAAAACAGTAGTGCCAAGAATTAGTGCATTAAGTGGATCAATCACGTGTGAAGCAATATTCTTTATAGCAATGTGCCATGCTTCAATCTGCAACCAGATAACAGACATATACCGAGTCGGAGATGATATAGAATCAGATTAAACCCCATTTTCATGCAGAGGGATGACAGTGGTTGTGTAAGTATGGTGTGAGAGTTGGCACATGATGTGCTAATCTCTTCATCTTGTAGAATGCCACATCTTGCTATATTTTTGTCTAGTAGATATTGATACATTTGGTCCTAGCCTCGACATAATGGGCCATAACATCCAGCTTCACTGTGCTAAGTAGGGCAACACTTTTCTTTGAGAATTAAGAATTGACTAAATGGAGCTGCCTGCACTCACCGAACTCCAACCCCATCCTGCATTCGTGATTGGAATCCTTTTGGGAGAATGACCCCTATCGTAAAGTAACACTAAATGTCCTGGAAACAGCTCTTTAAAAGGAGGACACCTCAGGACCTTATCAATACTCTGGTTTTAAGCATGAAAACTCGGCAACCAGGTTACCCTTGAAATTCGCAGTGACTTTACTCCATACTGAAATCAAATGTCACGAACTACAAAACAAACAAACAAAAAAATAATGAAGACACCCCTACCAAAATAATAATCATTTATGAGCGTATTCTGATTGGTCACTTGCGTTTCAAATCATATGATGTATCATCTACTTCCTGATTTGCTTAAAGAAATAATTGCGTTTGGGTCTGACATTATTTTATAATGGTGATTTTGCGTTACCATAGCTTAAGTATTAGTAAATTCCAATCACCCTTTAATAGTTTTGTTTAGTCTAGGAGAAGAATATAACACTGTAAACATATCTATTTGTCTGCCACTGTGTGTATACTGTTTATATGAACTGTGTTTAGTCCAGGAGAATAAGATAACACTGTAAACATATTTGTCTGCATGGCTGTCATACTGCAATCAATGTTTTGTTCTTTACTAAAAAATAAAAATAATGTTAATTTAAAATTGTACCCATGTGTGATTAAAACGCGCATCAATACCTTGAGTAACTTTACTCATTACAGGATTTGTACGTTTACGAGAAGAACACAGATCGATTCAAGTAAGTACTTACTTTCTTGTTGTCCACAAATTTGTATGTAAGTTTACATAATCGGAATTAGTCTTGGACATATAACAGAAAATTACAAAAACATCAATAATTAGGAGTGTAAACAAGGTTATATTTGTTGAAACTCGTCATTAAGAAACGAATAGATGTTCACTAGGATTTTAGGATTTGGTAAAGGAGTGTAAAACAAGGTTATATTTGTTGAAACTCGTCATTAAGAAGCGAATAGATGTTCACGAGGATTTTAGGATTTGGTAAAGGAGTGTAAAACAAGGTTATATTTGTTGAAACTCGTCGTTAAGAAATGTATAGATGTTCACGAGGATTTTAGGATTTGGTAAAGGAGTGTAAAACAAGGTTATATTTGTTGAAACTCGTCATTACGAAACGAATAGATTTTCACTAGGATTTTAGGATTTGGTAAAGGAGTGTAAAACAAGGTTATATTTGTTGAAACTAGTCATTACGAAACGAATAGATTTTCACTAGGATTTTAGGATTTGGTAAAGGAGTGTAAAACAAGGTTATATTTTTTGAAACTCGTCATTACGAAACGAATAGATTTTCACTAGGATTTTAGGATTTGGTAAAGGAGTGTAAAACAAGGTTATATTTGTTGAAACTCGTCATTATGAAACGAATAGATCTTCACGAGGATTTTAGGATTTGGTAAGGGAGTGTAAAACAAGGTTATATTTGTTGAAACTCGTCATTAAGAAACGAATAGATGTTCACGAGGATTTTAGGATTTGGTAAGAGAGTGTAAAACAAGGTTATATTTGTTGAAACTCGTCATTAATAAATGTATAGATTTTCACGAGGATTTTATGGTTTGGGAAATATAAAGCAATTCAAATAGCAGTTTTATGACGTGAATAATTATAAAATTGTTCCATCCACCATATATTGGTTACACGTGACGTAACACCTTACAGTTACCGTTGTTTTACTTATATTGACTACTTGTTATATTGCTTCATCCACTATACATTGGTTACACGTGACCTAACACCTTACAGTTACCATTGTTTTACCTATATTGACTACTTGTTATATTGCTTCATCCACTATACATTGGTTACACGTGACCTAACTGTAAGTTGTTAAGGTAAAACAATGGAAGCAATATAACAAGTAGTCAATATCATCCACCATATATTGGTTGTAAGTTGTTACGTTACATCTAACAATGGTAACTGGTCACGTGTAACCAATATATGGTGGATGAAGCAACATAACAAGTAGTCAAACTGAATAACCATTTCCGTTTTTTCCCGGTGTTTATTGGACTTTTTTTTTCTGTACCTGGGGTGATTTGTCAGTGTTTATCGGTTAAAAGCTAAAATCAGAAGCCCTACGTATGATATGTAGAATCTAGGGATTTAGCGATACGATACGAATATCGTATTGTGAAGCTAGGATACTACTGTATACTTTGTATTGTATTCTTTGGCACAGAAAAAACCAAAATTTCTAAGTACTTAAATAAGACAATGTTAATAATATAGACAATAAATTACAGACAAGACTGTCAAACTTTGTAACAAACCGTTGGTAAAACTTCTGTATCTAGATACGTATTGTATCGACTACTGTGATGAGATACAAACCCCCAGTAGAAACAAATCATACTGAAGGCAGAGTTCAAGGGTTATTTTCACATGATTAAGTGTTAGCACTACGTACAAAAGACATAAGACAGTTATAAAATGAAACAACAATAGCGTAGTTCTAACGACACAATTAATACAGTCACGCAAGTATAAAATTGTGACGTGAGTAGGTAAAAACTCGCTGAAGCTTTGCATGACACAAACATATCAAAACACTTACTTTACTAGTCACGCCAGTGTTGTGTAACATCTTCACAAGGCACACTGTTTGAAAATATATCATTTTCTTCAGGTTAAGTCTATATATTTATTGTGCTTTTATACTTATATATTGTCGAAGGAAGCATTCATCCTTTGTATGCTCTGTTCGAAGTGCTCACGAGTTTTAACGCTTTCTATACTGGCTCGTATATAATTATTTTTCATTATCTTAGCTAATCTAACCTAATACGTTTACAATTTTTAGTTACTGTTATAACAATGAATATCAATTAGACTATGTTTGTACCTGTTATTACTCCCAAAAGAGAAATTAGTGTGCTGAAAATATACGGTATATTAGTACACTCGTTACAGTATTAACAGTGAAAACATCGAAAAACACCGATTTTAAGATATCTAAATAAAACAGCTAAAAATAAACACCGACAAACACAAACCTCTAATTATGGTTAAAATCCTCAGTGGCAAACAAACAAACAATCATAAAGATGCAAGTGTTGTTGGTGCTTCATCTGAACCCTCGGGTTGCGAGTCGAGCACCATAACACCTGGCCATGCCGGGCCCTTTTGACAGTGATGGTTTGATTTTGTTTGGATTTATAATTCCATACGAGGTAGGTTCATTATTGAAATTTCCCGCATGGTTTTGTGGACAAATCAATTCCTACAGCTTGTTTCAATAACATAATACAACATAAAATAGCGTAATAAGTACAATCATGCAAAAACGTGCGTACTTACTATCGAAAATCACGTTTTTAGTACTGTTGTAATATTTTTACGTAAAGCCCCTCGTCGGTTGGCAGTAAGCTTACGGGCTTACAACGTTAAAACCCGGAGTTATATTTCTCCGCGATGGACAAAGCGTAAATGGACCATTGTATAGCTTTAAGCTAAACATAAACAAAACCATTTACTTGAAATTTATTTCCTAAATATTTTTTGTCGGACATATAAACTATAATTTTTTTCTTTTAGTCATGAAAACATGTGGTGAAAATAGCCTATAATTAACTCAGTAAGCTGAGAAATGAATTAATTAGTTAAATAGTTTAAATAACTCCAACAACAGTGAGCGCTAAAACAAAAGTTAAATACACGAACAATTAATTCCTGAAGAAGAGAAAACTCAACAGTAAAACGGTAAAACCACTCATCTCGTTCGTTAGCAATACTCGTGTCATCGTGTCGGTAAGACCAATCATCTCGTTAGCAATACTCGTTTCATCGTGTCTGTAAGACCACTCATCTCGTTAGCAATACTCGTGTCATCGTGTCAGTAAGACCAATTATCTCGTTGGCAATACTCGTTTCATCGTGTCTGTAAGACCACTCATCTCGTTAGCAATACTCGTTTCATCGTGTCTGTAAGACCACTCATCTCGTTAGCAATACTCGTGTCATCATGTCGGTAAGACCACTCATCTCGTTAGCAGTACTCATTTCATCGTGTCTGTAAGACCACTCATCTCGTTAGCAATACTCATGTCATTTATTGCTAACGAGATGACTGGTCTTACTGACATGATGACACGAGTATTGCTAAGGAGATGGGTGGTCTTACAGACACGATGACACGAGTATTGCCAACGAGATGATTGGTCTTACTGACACCCGTGTCATCATGTCGGTAAGACCACTCATCTCGTTAGCAATACTCGTGTCATCATGTCAGTAAGACCAATCATCTCGTTAGCAATACTCGTGTCATCGTGTCGGTAAGACCAATCATATCGGTAGCAATACTCGTATCATCATGTCGGTAAGAGCAATCATCTCGTTAGCAATACTCGTGTCATCATGTCGGTAAGACCAGGCATCTCGTTAGCAATATTCTTGTCATCATTCTAGTAAGGCCCTTCTCCTTATTAGCACAACTTGTGTCATCATGTTAACAAGACCCATCATATCGTTAACACAACTCGTGTCATCACGTTAGCAAGACTCATTACCACGTTATATAATTTTCTTTTTACAGGTTGAAACTTGTACGTCCCCAAATCTATGCGGCTAATATCACGCCATTTCACTATATGGCTTTCATTGGAGTGGTCAGATGGCTTAAACTTTGTTTAATTTATGCCATATTTCAATAACATTTAAAATGGCCATATCTATTAACATATTTTAAACACTCGTTTCTACAGGCTCACTTCCCAAAATGTACAAGTTTTCTCCTTTGTAAACTCGTCTTCCTTAGCATTTACACATAATAAAGGAAACTGAAAAATTAATGGGGCAATTAACAGCACCGTTTCATATTTTATCTGTAATGGAAAATTTTATAACTTAATTAGATTAAATATAACCGAACCTCATATTTCCGTTATTACGGCGCTATGTTCCATTTGGTAGTCAAATTAAGCTGACCTCTTCTTCAGCAAATTGATAAAACTTCTTGAGATTAAGTGTGTGAGGTAAATATGTTGACCATGAAATGTGTAATTCTTACATTTAATACGTGCACGATGAGACATTCGTCACCATTGACCCTTTCTTTCCTCAATTATTTATATTTTATTTTGAAAAGTCACAGTGATATGGATCAAAAAATGGAATCTAGCTCATTTCGACAGGTTAACAAGAACCACTTTTAAATCATAAACTAAATGCTGATTGGACAAGTACATGTATGTATTTGTCTCAACTGGATTTATCTTTTTTAATGGCAAATAAAAATGCAGTAACACTTTACTCTGATGAGTCAGTAAATTGCTTTGATTGTAATTTAAAAACAGACATTACTAAACACAGTAAGTAATGACAAGCCAAGGATGTTGGTATTAATATTTTCAACCTGAACGGTACCTCATGTGATATCTAATGTTCAGACATAGCCCTCTCCAATCTAGACCTACTGGTCAGAAGGAAGATAACCAATCAACAGTACCTACTGTCTATACAGCTGCATTTAAACCGAATAGCGGGATTGGCTGTTGAGGCTAAAAAGCTCTCACAGCTGATAGTGTAGTGAATGTTTAATGACATATCGCGGCCCAAACCTTGGGCCTTCAAATCCGTATTCAGAAACGCTAACCACTATACCGTACCTGGCCTTTTTAAGGATGTCATACCATTAATTTTCACTTGGTTGATCAACAGGTTATCATCGGATAGATAATAATGCTAGTAAGTGCTAAAACATGAGAAGATTACAGAGTAAATGTCTTTTCTATTAGATCGAACACTAAAGCATCTGAGATTATCTTAAAACAGATGTGGTATATTTTTGTATAGATTAACTTTAACTTTTTTTTTTTTACCATTTAAAATCAAAATCTTATCATGGTAAAGTTGTTTGAAGACTGCAAATTTAAATAGGAATAGTTGGCCAAAATTCATTCAAGATAAACTAAAAATCAAAGTATTAAGAACTACGTTAACGAGAAAGAAAAATACAACAATTATTAAGGAATGATGTGGAATTTATAAGTGTTTACAGGGCAACGTTCACTGGATACATCTTTCCGTTGTTAACTGAAACGTGTTAATACTGTTATTGTTTCAACTATCGACTTGGTGCAATTTTGCACTTAATGAAAAGCGTGGTATGTTTAAAGGATTGACTGATCTGTTAGACGTGCGTTACAATAACGTGAACCAAAGTAATGGTGCTGATGTATTAAATGTTTAGGTCTCGTTAAGTTTTATTATTATTCATGTATGATAGATGTTATAAATGTTGAGGAAAGTGTACTAAAACTTTGTATGATGTGGATCAAAGGATAGTATATTGTCTTACAGGAAACTCGCAGTCATGAGTGAAATATTCAAATTATCTGTAGTCTTGTACTGATGTTTCAATCCCGAAACTTTTAATTTTTCATTACCCTTTTTTTATAACATCGTATAATGTAGGATAACCAAGACAGCAACCTTCCTTACGGTTCCTTCGTAGCGATTTTTCTATGATGCACAGTCCACCTACGTCTTGCATCGGGATACAGTAGTATGAAGAAAAAGCTAATTGCATTTTTAGTTTATAATCTTATTCAATACCAATTATATTGAATACATAGTGAAGGAATCTGGTTAAATACACCAAAATAATTGAAACGCCATCCGTTATTAAAAGGTATAAAACACGTTTGTTTGTTTTTCATTAAGAACATTTATTCTGTAATATCTCAGCCAAGACGAAACAGTCACCAGAATTCCCGTGGAAACTGGAACAACAGTTGCTGCTTATGTTGCTGTAACGAAAGAAACAGTGAGAACAAATAATACAAGTGATGTAAGTATTTAAATTTCATGTTTAATCATTAAATAAAAACGCCTAAATACACATTTTATCAGAGACGAATTTGATATTAAGTATTCTTTTTTTTACTCAATACGTAGATAAAGAACGAAGAATCTAAGGAAATCGTTTATGATAAATGCAGCGAGTATGTGAAAGTTAAATTTGAAGGGGGCTAGAGAATTTATGTAAAATGACAAACCCTCCAAAGAATTAGTAATTTTTGAAATATGGGAATTTTTAAGTTATGATTTTGAATGTTTAGTTATGCAGAAACATAGTGCAATTAAATGTATTTTAAAAAAATTACAAAGTTTTGAAAATTGACGTCACGTTTAGCTCCTCTTTCAAACGTGTGTGATAGGAGTGATTATATGTGTGTGTGTGTGTGTGCCCTGTGTGCCCAAAAAAATTAAGAGAATTTATTTCTTATATACATTTTGAGCAATCTTTAAGTTTTTATTCGTTTTTCTTGAATTTATTTGTAAATTGTCTGCGCTAATATGATGATACATTGAGGCTGTAACTCCATTTTTAAAACAAAAATGTTGAAAGTAATTTATAATTCAACGACCTATTATAACATTTCACTTCCAGTGTGAGATGCAGGTTAATAGTTTATCCATTACTATATTTTGTCTGTTCTTTAGGTTAACCTTTATCGAAAGGGCTGACTCATTACTAACAGTATTGATGTAGCGCAGTGGCGTACGTAGCATATCACAGGCATAGATATCCTGTACGATCATGTGCTCCATACCAAAATGATAATAATTTGGGTTCCTGTTACTGCTCTTTATTTAAATTTACCTTTAACCAATCAAAAAATGCTATTTTTACACACCTCTGATTACGAACGGCAATGGACAAATTAAGAAGAATATGAAGAAAAGCAAACATCAGCAGTTAAATTGATACATCTTTTTCTACTAGGCAATATTAACGTCTTATTTTACTGGTTCAAGTTAAATAGTTTGTTTGTTTGCAATTAAGCACAAAGCTACACAATGGGTTATCTGTGCTCTGCCCACCACGGGTATCGAAACCCGGATTCTAGCGTTATAATTCCGCAGACATACCGCTCTGCCATTGAGAGGCAGTTAAATAGTGGTGATGATTAAAAGTAATATATTGAATTCTAAGTTACGGTTGTCTGGAAACTAATCTGAAAGTGTTTATGTTCTTGCATTAATAAATTCAAACACTTTAATTAGATTTTCAGTTTCTTTTAGTTACTGAACATGAAATTCCTTTTATAGAAGATGGACTTTTATACACAAAATATTGTTTTGGGTAACTTATGTATCAGGACTCTTAAACTAGACTTAATTGAAATCACCATAAATTAATTTGTGGGTTTTTATGCTGATTTGATTAATATGTACAGGTTATATTTTCAGATAAAAATATATGTTATTTAAGATCGACGTTCCATAAATACGTTCATTCTGTTGTAAATATTTTAAAATAAAACAACTTATTTGCTGTCATTTCAGAAATGAAAACAACAACAAAAAAAACATAAATCTAATGGTACAAATATCAATTAATTTTAAGCTTATCAAATGTATTCGATAAATTTATATGAGTGAAGTCGGAAATTTCACTAAAGACACAAGTAATGGATGTACATAGTGCATCTTGACAATAGCTCTGCAGCATACTTTCCATTAAAAAATATTACGTCGTTAGGGTGTCATGCCAAAAGCATATCCTCCTCACTGCAGACTTTCCATAATCCATCTATTGTACGAAGGTGACTGTTTTCCAGTGCCTGTTTCAACAGTGATTGGACAGAAATCCATAGGTGCTGTGTTTTGGCCGATATGTTTTTGAATGAATACCGTGAATAACTGTTTCAATCTCTATTTCCTTTAGGTATGCGATGGTTAACCTGATATGTCGTGGGAGCAACTTGCGTATACGTGACTTGTGTCTCTTTTACAGACGGAGAACTTTCTCGATTATGTTCGGTACTGTTGCCTGGGGCACGTGGACGACTTTTGCAACTGACCTTTGTGTTCGTGGATATCATCTGTTACAAAACGCCTCACTTTGTTTACAATGGTTGGGGTACGACTTATTGCAAGTCTCTTTCCGGAAGGTCCTGATCACCAAACTGAGCCATATTCATTTGTTTTCTAATGTCATTAAGGAAAAGAGATATGTCGGTCTTGGAATTTCTAAAACCCTAATATGAGCACATCTTTATGATCGGAGTATACAAATATCTTGCGTCCGAAAGCGATGTTATATACCCTTCCCACAAGCGAAAAACCGTCAGTGGTAACACACCGCATGCGTAATGGCAATCAATCTCAAAATGTAGCTCTGATACATATATATATATGCCGTTCCACTGCGAATTTATATCGGCTGTGGTTGTTACGTAACTTGCTGATTTGCACATTTAAAGTCGTTCTAAGATAACTTACTCAACTTGTGTATTTATATTATAGAGCCGAGGTAGTAAAAGTTTGTTCTTGCCATGTTTATTTAAGTACATTAATGTTTGTTTGTTTTGTTTTGAATTTATGCACAAAGCTACACAAAGGGCTATCTGTGCTCTGCCCACCACGGGTATCGAAACCCGGTTTCTAGCGCTGAAAGCCCGCATGCATACCGCTGTGCCACTGGGGGGCAAGTACATTAATGACGATCTATAAAGAAATACAAGCTAAACAAACGAAGTATCTATCTAAGCATAACTACAACATAAAAATTAAAAATCAGTCGTTTGTTGTATGAATATAAACGTATAACTAAGTATATTCTTCAGTGTGTTTAAGTTGTGCACGTAAACATAAGTTCAGGTTTTTATGTAAAAACGATTCGTAACGAGCCGGTTGGCTTATGGTGAGAAATTAATGCAACTTCGATTTTACTGTATTAATGCATCAGTATAACTTCTGTGTTATAATAACATTATGCTTCGTTTATCAGAAGTAATCTAAAGAAAAGAGCATAGAACATGGAAGCTTTCTTTTTGTTTTTAGATAGACAGTTTTGGTTTTCCTATTAAGAGTTGGATTTTAAACAGGTGTTATTGTATTGTCTTAATGAAACAGCATAAACTGCGCCAAAAAAGCCATTAACAATGGATGGTGCCGGCGTTGTGCGTCTTTTAGGAAATGAATTTTGTTGTTGGTTGTTAAGCGCAAAGCTACATGATGTCTTATCTCTGCCCACCGCGGGTTTTGAAATCCGATTTTTAATGTTCTAAACTGCTTCAAAACTATAGATGGCTAAAACATTTATGTGTGATCATTTTCTTACATTAGATAGCTTGTTTTATTCCAGGATTCAAGGTTTCCTGATGGATTGTCCGTAGACGTCCAAGATGTGGAATTTATTTTGACACATCCTGTTCTAGAAGTAGACGGAGAGTTAGTAGGTAAGTATAAGACCCTCTTATTCTTAAGAGTTTTTAAAAGTGAAAATGCAATAATTATGTGGCCTGACAATGGATCGCATTGTAGCTTTACAGCACACACAGTAAAAACTTAAAACTGGTAGATTATTGTCAAGTTCTTGTCTACTAATTGACGTCTGCTTCCACTCTTCGAAACGTAATTTTGTTTTTATTTGTAGTCCCGGTCTAATAATCCAATTACAGGTCGAGTTAAAGAAGCGTTTCTTTTGGCTAATTAAATAAATTTGGGAACAGACAACTGCCTCTTATAAGGAAGTGAAGTGTCGAATTGGAAGATGTCACCTTTAGAACTGAAGACTGACTAGAGACTACGCGTTTAAATTTCAGACGTAAGCGTTTGGGAAATTGAACCTTGGTGTTTCTGTGTTTAGATGTAAAACACAATTTGAGGTGTTCAACATCAAAATACTTTTATTTATGTTATAGAGTGAACCACTCTCTTTGCGCTGATATAATATTTTTAGTTCGAGTATTAAATTTCAGTCAATTTACTATGATTAGTAAAATTTTCACCAGTGTTCATGCATTGCTAGTATTTATTTTGTTTGTTACTTATTTGTTCTAGAATTTTCGTGTAAGCCTATGCAAAGGGTTATCTACGCATAGCCGTCACTAATTTTGAACTGATAAGATTAGAAGGAAGGCAGCAAGTCAACAGCACCCACTGCCAACTCTTTGACTACTTCTGTATGACCGAATAGTTAGTTTTAACCGCCTCTATTGTAGAGCACCCAAAGTGCAGAGCGCGTTTATGTGGAATGGAACGTGAACCTTGAATCCTGAAATGTACAGTCCGAATACACGATCCATTAAGCCACATCTGTCCTTGTATTTTGTTTTTCTGAAAGAATTGTACAACTTGAATAAGAATACCCATAATTTAGAAAAACTGAGTCACAGATGTTAAGTAAGTTTTAATGAACAAACGAAGTAAAAATTGAAGTCTAATAATGTAATTTAAATGGCACAGTAAAAATGATTTAAGTGACGGATAAGATAGCAATCTTAATCAGATAAATATAATATGAAACTTAGCAGTAGTCGATATTACGAAATGTTTGATTATACTCTATTTATAACTCATGTTAATGCAAAAACTTCAATTTTATCTATATTTAATACTTAGCAAATTAGTAAACTAATTTTATGTAGGATATATAATTAGTGTTATTTTATCTGTCATTGTTCGGTTCTACAGGCATAATCGAGTTGTACAGGAAGGAGGAAGACGAAGAGTTTCAAGACGAGGACGAAGAGGTAAGCCTCGTTTTCCATTACTTGGATAAACATATATTTACTAAGCTCTTAAAAAAACAAGTCATGTATGAACCGTAACTAACTACATATGTGTGAGGAAGTACGAAAAGGGGTGACATAATCATATCACTTTTTTTCTTCTTATTCTTTTGTGACTTGTATTTTCTTTGATTTGCACCGCTAAAAGAAACTTGGTGTTAAAGTAAATTAATAAATAATACGGTGTTAAAAAAACCTTACCCTAATTCTGATGTGTAATGACATAAATAGAATTAATAGAACTGTATTGGCATTATAGGGCGATCTCAAGTATAAGGCAACCCCATTTTCAGAAACCATGGAAAAGGGAAAAAATGAGTTTCATAACGCTCATTTTTAGGTCCGCAAAATCAGTACTATAACTGAACAGCCTGCAAGTGAATTAGTTGCAAGAATTAGCGATGACTTTGTGCGAACATCTGGCACACATGCGTAGACGGATGCTATCTGGACATTCAGGAATGCTACAGGCTAGAGTAGGGGGAAAAGGCCTGTGGTCGGCCGCGATTATAAGATGACTATGAATTTTACAGGCTAATTATTAATAAACAAACATCGCCTTATAATCGGGCCAATACGGTAATTACAATTCTCCAACGTAATTTATTTCACAACGAAACAGTTCTTACTTAAGCAGTTTGCTAACTTAAATTGTCTCTTAACCAAAACTATGTATGTCATATCCAAGCCGGCCTGAAGAGCCCTTACATTGGCTGAAATGCTGTTGGTGTTGTAGCTTTTGTTTTACAAAGCTTCACAATGGTCTATCTACATTCTGCCCACTGCGGGGAATCGAACTCCAGATTTAAACTTTGTAAGTCCATAAAGTTACTGCTGACCCACGGGAGGGAGAATTGGCGAAAGACATCATCAGCACTGGATATAACACATGTAATGTGGTTGATATATTATTGTATAATCTTCTTTATTCCCACTCAGAAGTCCTTGTAATCTTTTAATATTGTAAAAAAAAAACAACAACTTAATTTTAAGACAGTTTTATAAATAAGGTTGCAAATTTCGTGTATCTAAAAGAAGAATGAAATAATGTTTAATCATTAGTCCATAGCTGTTTCTGTAATTAGCGTCGGAACTCAATGGCGGTTTGTAGTACCTTATTATTAGGATTAGCTACTGTGTTTGCGACTCAAAATCTAGGCCTATTAGTTATTTCTTTGTTTTTTCAAAAAATCCCCAAAACTAAATTATCTGTTGTCACAAAACTTGAAAATTATATAAAGTTACAAAATCTAAACTGTTATTGTCAAACTCTTGTAGGAAATTAACTATATTATAGCAACACAATTGATCACTATTAAACAAAGTTAAGATTTTTTGTTGAACTTGTTTTTCCAAAGCTGAATGAATTTTTAGTCACTAAAAGAAAATAAACCAAACATAAAAATCACATTATCTAAACTGAAAGAGCGCTAGCCAACAAGTAAATGACAAACGTCTTATAGGCCAAGACGAAATAATCGTCTAGAATCTGACATATAACCTCTATCAACGAGAAGCTAGACCTATCTCACAAATCAAGATTTTTGTTGTTGTTTTTTAATTTAGGCCCGGCATGGCCAGGTGGTTAGGGCGCTCGACTCGCAATCAGCGGCTCGCGGGTTGGAATCCCCGTCCCACCAAACATGCTCGCCGTGGGAGCGTTATAATGTGACGGTCACTTCCACTATTCGTTGGTGAAAGAGTAGCCCAAGAGTTGGCGGTGGGTGGTGATGACTAGCTGCCTTTCCTCTAGTTTTACACTGCTAAATTAGAGACGACTAGCTCAGATAGCCCTCATGTAGCTTTGCGCGAAATTCAAAACAAACAAACAAGCTTTACATAAGACTTTAAAGCACAGTCCGGAAAGGAAGAGGTCTCCACGAACCTGACCCTCCTTGATCACAAAAGACCTAAATCCCGATCCGGAGAGAGAGTGATAGGACGCAAAAGTAATCGTTTCGCGATTACTGCTTCGTTTCTTTATTTTTAAGACGCTGTACTATACAATGGGCTACCTGCACTGTGTCAACAGCAAGTATTGAACCCCGATTTTTAACATTATAAGCACCGAATCTTATCTGAGCTACTACGAAACGCTCTACATACGAATACACAGAAATTTAAGGCTGTGATTTAAAATATATATAAATGAAGTAAGACGTAGATACATAACTTTAAACCGAAATGATTTTGAAACACTACCTAAATTAATTATTAAACGAACAAATTATTTGTTTTCCAGGTCTTAAACAGTTACCTGCTGTGGGGTGGAATAGCCTTTCATTATGCTGAGGTAAAGTATAATTGGAATATTCACTATGTTAAAAAAAATCATATATGTGTACTAAGTTACGTAACTTATGGTCTTTTTATTTGTTAATTTACCATGATAAGTAGAGAGGTAAAATATATAATTTTCTGGCCTTTGAATAAATAAAGACTTAAACAACGCTTTTACAAACATTAGAATACGAAAATAAAAAAGGGAAATAAAACATTAAACAGCAATTTTTTTCTTTTCAAACTGGAGTTGGAATGTTAGAGCTTCAACATTCAACTGAGTTATTTTCGATTTGATTATTGTTGCCAAACATAAACTAACATTGCGCATGGCAAATGATATTAACAATTGACATGTATTACGTAATTTTATCTGTGACAGGGCTTCTTGTCATTGGTCAGTTGAGCATATTGTCATAAACATTGAGATTATAGCAATTGTTCGATAAAGTAAGTTTATTAATTTTATTTTTTAATTCTATAACACAGCATGGGATGTCAAGATGCATGGTAATAAAAATGGACATAACATCATGTAACCTGTGACTGGCATGCTTTTCAAACTTTACCTTTAAATTATTTCTATACTTCCATTTTGTACATATAGCTCATACATCATAAACTAGTGAACTACTTTAATAACTGATACATGTCATTCTTATTCATAGCTTTTATCATAAGCATGTTAAAAAGGAAGCAAAATAGTTTTTTAAAAATCTCGAATTAGTCCCGTGCTGCTGTGAAAGTTGTTATTGTGTTTTAGCGCAAACCTACACAATTGGCTGTCTACACTAAGGACCGCTGGTAACCTAACCCCAGATTTTAGCGTTGTAAGTCCGGAGAATTCCCGCTGACCCACAGGGGGACTTTGAAACTGATATCGATGAACTTAGATGTAATTCACAAACTATATTTATCATGAAAACCAATTACAGTAGTTTTTGTGTTTTCTAAAAGTACTGTTGCGTCAGCGAGGTCACGTGACTAGTGGCACGCCACCTATTTTCTAGAAATATCCTGTTCCTTCGTGAATGCCCTAGCATTTACTAGATATATGTTTGTCTGGTATATACATGTATATAAGACGCTCACAACGTGACGAGACAATGTGTGTAGGTAGTGAGTAATTGAACTGCAGTCAGAAAGTATTGTTGAAGTTAACGTTCGTTGTTAAAACATTTGTTATAGAGCGACTGTTGAAAATAAGTGTATCGGTAAAGTTGTATTCGGAAAGAATAAACCAGTTTTATTTAAGAAAGGACTTGTGTCGCTAAACGGAGACGTAACAGTACGCTAAGGGATATATATATACATTTTAAATTATCTATTGAAGAAAACCAGTACTAAAATCAATGCAAGAAGTCGCAATTACTATTACAGGATTAGTGCACAACTACAAGATTTTTTAAAAAAACTCTGCAAGTATAGCGCATATCTGAATCAATATATTTCGTTTTGTGTTTTCAGAGAATTTAATACTATAAAACAAAGCAATACAGTGCCTTCTTCTGATAATAATTTGACCTTTCACCTAGCTCTATACGAACATGGCGAGACAGAAGAAATTGAATAACTTTTTACTCACTCTTGTCAGGTAAGAAAAAGATAACAGCAGTTAGTAACAATAAGATAGCAGCATTTTAAATAACTCCTTCATTGTTGTCAGGTTAGAGAAAGGTAACAGTAGTTAGTAACACTAATATAGCAGCATTTTGAATAACTCCTTGATTGTTGTCAGGTAAGAAAAAAGGTAACAGTAGTTAGTACCATAAGATAGCAACATTTTAAATAGCTCCTTCATTGTTGTCAGGTAAGAAAAGGGTAACAGTAGTTAGTAACAATAATATAGCAGCATTTTAAATAACTCCTTGATTGTTGTCAGGTTAGAGAAAAGATAACAGCAGTTAGTAACAATAAAATAGTAGCATTTTAAATAGCTCCTTGATTATTATCAGGTTAGAGAAAAGATAACAGCAGTTAGTAACAATAACATAGCAGCATTTTAAATAACTCCTTATTGTTGTCAGGTTAGAGAAAAAATAACATCAGTTTGTAACAATAACATAGCAGCATTTTAAATAACTCCCTGATTGTTGTCAGGCTAGAGAAAAGATAACAGCAGTAGTAACAATAAGATAGCAATATTTTAAATAACTCTTTGATTGTTGTCAGGTAAGAAAAAAGATAACAGCAGTTAGTAACAATAAGATAGCAATATTTTAAATAACTCCTTGATTGTTGTCAGGTTAGAGAAAAGATAACAGCAGTTAGTAACAATAACATAGCAGCATTTCAAATAACTCCTTGATTGTTGTCAGGTAAGAAAAAAGTAACAGCAGTTAGTAACAATAACATAGCAACATTTTATATAACTCCTTCATTATTGTCAGGTTAGACAAAAAATAACAGCAGTTAGTAACAATAAAATAGCAGCATTTTAAATAACTCCTTCATTGTTGTCAGGTTAGAGAAAAGGTAACAGCAGTTAGTAACAATAACATAGCAGCATTTTAAATAACTCCTTCATTCTTGTCAGGTTAGAGAAAAGGTAACAGCAGTTATTAACAATAACATAGCAGCATTTTAAATAACTCCTTCATTCTTGTCAGGTTAGAGAAAAGGTAACAGCAGTTATTAACAATAACATAGCAGCATTTTAAATAACTCCTTCATTCTTGTCAGGTTAGAGAAAAGGTAACAGCAGTTATTAACAATAACATAGCAGCATTTTAA